ACAGTGAGAATTTTATTTGGCTTTGTAAACATTATATTTTATCATTCATATGACCACCTACCATTTAGGTTTAATTATTTAATTTAATTTATTTATTTTTATGCGGCGTGCAGGATCTTAGTTGCCAGACCAGGGATCGAACCTGTGCCCCCTGCAGTGGAAGCATGGAGTCCTAACCACTGGGCCACCAGGGAATTCCCTCTGTTTAGTTATTTTAAAACCAGTACTATAATAATATGCAAATGATTACATACCTGTTGACTAAAAAATTGTTTATTTGATAAATGTTGAATAATTTACTTTTATATTTATAGCTGTGTGAAAGTTGAAAGCACAGGTCTCTGGCATCAGACTACTTGGCTCCACATCCCAGGTTTTCTATTTATTGGCTGTGTGGCCATAGGAAAATTAGTTAATTTCTCCATACCTAGATTTTCTCATCTTTATTTTTTTTATTTTTTTATTTTTTAAATTAATTTTTATTAATTAATTGCTTTACAATGTTGTGTTAGCCGCCACTGCACAAGAAAGTGAATCAGCCATACACATACAGATGTCCCCTCCCTTTTGGACCTCCTTCCCATTTAGGTTACCACAGTGCATTAGGTAGAGTTCCCTGTGCTATACAGTATGTTCCCATCAGTTGTCTAGATTTTCTTATCTTTAAAGGGCAGTAATAAGTGTACTTATCTAATATGGTGATTATGATGTATAAATGAGTTATAATACAGTATTTAGCACAGAGGACCTGGTACATAGTCACTGTTTAATAAATGTTAGCAACTTTGTTGTTACTTTTTTAATCTTTCCTGGACTATTCTTCATATGTGTTGAAGGAAAAAATAAATATGTATGCATGTGTATGTATATATTTTTGTGTGTATATGTGTGTGTGTGTGTATTTACATATATATTTGTAATGTTGGTTTGAGAGGCTATCATAAAGTTAGGGAAGCAGAACTCCAATAAATTTTAACATTAAATTTTATTTTATTAAAGTAACACAAACATACTGTTTAGAAGTTCAGAGTACAAAAAAAGCATATAATAAAATATAGCAGTTTCATGTTTCTTGCTTCTCTGTGCTGCTCACGTGCTGCCAGGGCCCTTTCCCCACAGACTGCAACTCTTTTAGCTTCTTCTGACATTTACATATATCATTTTTCTATATTGTATGTGTACTATTATTTATTGATCCTATCTCTTTTTTTTTTTTTTTTCTGCACTGCACGGCATGTGACATCTTAGTTTCCCCAGCCCGCGCCCCCTGCAGTGGAAGCACAGAGTCTTAACCACTGGGCCGCCAGGGAAGTGTCTGACACTATTATCTCTTGACTTTCACTTAATGTAGATGAGGATTTAGCTCTTGTCCTAACATCCGCTCTGCTCCTCCCTTCTCTCAATTCTTCCAATATAGTCCTGTTACAGTTCTTGGTTTAATCAGCATCAAAACATTTTTGTAAACATTATCATAAAACAGTGTTGTACCTATTCACTGCTGAGCACGCCTTACCTTTTTTCCCTCTTGCTTAATAATTGCTTTTTTTTTAAAGTGTGCTTAGTTTTCCTTTTATCTTTTTGCTAATTCTTCTCACAACTTCTGCTGTCTTTCAGTATAATTTCCTACAAATTTAATTGCATCATTAACCTTATTAGTTTTAGTCCCCCTCATCCCTGCCACACCCCAAAAGAGATCTCTGTTTTCTTTCTTTGGGGTGGTTTCTCTGAAGCCCTGCTCTTCAGCTCTCATACTGGACTTCCCTTGTGCTCATCCTTGATTCCATGTTGATTTTCTGTGTTCTCTTGATAGTGTACATCTTCTACTAGTTTCATCAGGTTAAAAAGATGGTACGGTGACTGAGAGTGTGATCATGGCAGCCCTCAACAGATTTTTTTTCGAGTCACACTGTTCAAATCTGGTTGGGTTACCCTCTCTAGCTGGTGTATAGATGTCATTCTGGGGTTGCCCTTTACCATTAGAGATTTCCTTCACTTCTCTCCTACATTGGGTCTCCTGTGTTCTGTATTCCATGACTTTTTGTTCCTTAATTTACTCCTTCATTTTGGTAAAGAACATCCTCAATCCAGTACCTTCCTGAGAAAGACTGCATAGTAAAGTTTTTGAGTCCTGGCATCAAAATGCCTTCACTTTTCTGTCACATTCTTTTCTGTCACTTTGGGGCTTAGATTTCTAGATTGGAAATACTTTTTCTTCAAGATCATGAAGGCATCATTCCGTCGTCTTTTTTTTTTTTAATTGCTTTATTTTTATTTTTAAAAATTAATTAATTAATTTTTTGGCCGCGCCACACAGCTTGTGGGATCTCAGTTCCCCGACCAGGGATAGAACTTGGGCTGCAACAGTGAAAGCCCGGAATCCTAACCATTAGACCACCAAGGAACTCTCTCCATCGTCTGTCTTCTTGATTTCAACATTGCTGGTGAGGTGTCTGAAACCATTCAGTTTACTTATCCTTAGTATGTTACCTTAATTATTACGCTTCTAGAAAATTGTTGGATCCTTTCTCTGTGTTCTGAAATTTCACATGCCTTGGTGTGAGCCTTTTTTTTAAATTGAAGTATAGTTGATTTGCAATATTATATTAGTTTCAAATGGACAACATAGTGGGTCTGTTTTTACCCATTGTGCTGGGTATGCATTGGGCCCTTTTAATTTGGAAGTTGAGGTTCTTTGGTACTAGGAAACTTTCTGGAATTGTTTTGTTGATGATTTTCTCCTCTCCATTTTTTTATTCTCTCTTTTCAGAGTTCCTAATATTTGAATGTTGGCTTCCTTATATTGAACTTTCTTAGCTTTTCTCTCCTGCTTTTCCATTTCTTTATTTCTTCTATTTTCTGGGAGATTCCATCATCTCCCAACCTTTTTTTAAAAAATAAATTTATTTATTTATTTTTGGCTGCATTGGGTCTTCCTTGCTGTGCGTGGGCTTCTCATCATAGTGGCTTCTCTTGCTGCGGAACACGGGCTGTAGGCACGTGGGCTTCAGTAGTTGTGGCTCGCAGGCTCTAGAGTGTAGGCTCATTAGTTGTGGCGCACAGGCTTAGTTGCTCCACAGCATGTGAAATCTTCCCAGACTAGGGCTCGAATCCGTGTCCCTTGCATTGGCAGGCGGATTCTTAACCACTGTGCCACCAGGGAAGTCCTTCCAATCATTCTATTAAGCTTTAATTTCCAAGATTTATTTTTCTCTGAATTTCCCATTTTTACAGTATCCTCTGTTTTTCCACGAATATAATATCTTATCTCTGAATTCTCTCCTTCTATAATTTCTGTTTCTTCCATACTGCATTTTTTCTGCATCTGGTCTTCCATCTTAACAGCTTACTTACCTTGTAATCCTGATAATCCTTGTTCGCTGTACTCGTTAGTAAAGGAATGGGACTGAAAACCTGATTGGAATCTCTGAGCCTGTAGATAAGGCTTATCAACTTTGAGCTTCACTGTAGCTTGGCTTGGATGTGCTTGTAGTTGAGGAATACCTGCTGTTAGTATCTTCAGGTCTTTCCTGGTAGAATGGTCAGTTCCCAGGGAGTACTCTTCTAATCTTTTGCCTGGTGGGTAGTTATCTGGGAGCCAGGTATGGGGAGAGGAGTAGTTTGGGAGAGGAAGTTCTCAGTGTTCAGTGTACCATACCATTAGGTAAGCAAATACATGGTCTGTTGCTAGTGTACCCAGGCCCTCAACTATGTCGAACTCCCAGTTGAAGTGTCCTATTCTTTTGCCCTATCCAGGGAGAATGAGCTTTCAGGCTTTTGCCAGAACGAGGAGGAGCACTTGCCTTTTGGTGTGGAGTTGGAGAAGGAATCTGGAGCTTTAACCATTTCTCACACAACTCTCAATTCTTATTTCAGCCACCACCTCCTGTTCCCCAGTTCCAGAATTACCTGGTACTGTTAGTTCTCGAGCCCTTTAAAGACTCTCAGTGTTAATCAGTGTTCTCAGCCAGTGTAAATCAGGCTGGTTCTCTTTTCTCCACTGCTAGCTTATGATGTAACTTGCTTTGGCCTGCCTAGTCTATTATCATTTGTCTGTCTGCTTTCCTGCTTCCAAAATGTTGTTGCTCTTGCCACCTCACCTGTTTTCCCTATCCTTGTGGGTTTATATCTTAAAAAAAACAACTCTTGATTGTAGTTTTACTGGAGTTTTTAGAGGGAATAAAATTAGATGTGAATGTTCCCTCTGCCATCTTAGCTTGGAAGTCTCAGTTTTTAAAATAGCATTTCCTGGTGTTTTTGGAGGTCATAAGTGACATGTCCTTATTAGCAGATAATTTGGAAAATAGGAAAGATATGAAATAAACATCACTGTAATTCTACCATATAGAAAAACTATTGTTGACATTTCGATATACTTTCAGTCTGTTTTCTATATTTGTGTATTTTTACATACACATTTGCATTTTTTCATAATTGGAATCATACTATATATTTTTAGTTTTGTTTCCTGCTTTCTTCACCTAATGAACCATTTTCCCATGTCAGAACATAATCTTTGAAAACATCTGGTGGATATTCATCTAGTGGATGTATAACATAAATGTTATTTGGCACTATCATGAGCAGTTTCCCATGTTGCAACATAATCTTTGAAAGCAAAATTTAAAAAATTTTTAATATGGTTTATAATATGGCAAAATTTAAAAAAATTTTAATATGGTTTATAATATGGCTGTCACATGACTGTGTCATGATTTATTTAACTATTGTCCTATTGATAAAGATTTATATTTTTTCTAATCTAAAGTAGACTCATGAAGTCAGAATATCTTGTTCATGATTCTGTGTTCAAGCTTAACCCGGTGTTTAATGTTTAATGTGGAGTGGTTCAGGGAATGTTTTGTTAAAGTGAATGAACAGTTCTGCACAAAAGTCCGATTGTTTTCTTAAGTTAGAATCTAAGAAGGGCTCTTTCTGGGTTAAAAGGTATAAACTTTTTGAAGTTTGTTGATAATTTATTTTCAATTTGTTCTTCGATTCAGAATAAGAAACAAGGATGTAAAAATGAGGAAGTGCTTGCTGTGCTAGGCCATGAACTGGGGCACTGGAAGTTGGGACACACAGTCAAAAATATCATTATTAGCCAGGTAAGTTTGGAGTGACAATTCTCTTTTTATGACAGGATAGTCAAATTATAAATATAGCAGGCATGAGAGTTCATATAGTAGAGAGGTTAATACAGACTCTGTAGCCAGGCTTCACATCGCGGCTCCCTGACTTACTACCTGTGTGACCTCAGGCAAGTTCCTGAGCCTCTCTCTGCCTCCATTCCCTTATTGAGTGATGATATCTCATAGGACTGATGTAAGAATTAAATGAGTTAATATATGTAAAGAGTTTGGAGTAGTACCTGGAATATGGTAAGTACTATAGAAGTATTTATTGTTGTTATCATCATCATCATCGTCACCACCTCCTGAGTCGCTCAGCTAAGGAGCTGTGAAGATCAAAAGGAGTGAGCCCAGATAACTTGGGTATTAAAATACTTTTTTTTTTTTTTTTTTTTTTTTGCGGTACTGGTGCCTCTCACTGTTGCGGCCTCTCCCGTTGCGGAGCACAGGCTCCGGACGCGCAGGCTCAGTGGCCATGGCTCACGGGCCCAGCCGCTCCGCGGCATGTGGGATCTTCCCGAACCGGGGCACGAACCCGCGTCTCCTGCATCGGCAGGCGGACTCTCAACCACTGCGCCACCAGGGAAGCCCTAAAATACTTTTTTTTTTTTTTTTTTTTTTGCGGTACTGGTGCCTCTCACTGTTGCGGCCTCTCCCGTTGCGGAGCACAGGCTCCGGACGCGCAGGCTCAGTGGCCATGGCTCACGGGCCCAGCCGCTCCGCGGCATGTGGGATCTTCCCGAACCGGGGCACGAACCCGCGTCTCCTGCATCGGCAGGCGGACTCTCAAGCACTGCGCCACCAGGGAAGCCCCCCTAAAATACTTTTTAAAGAACATTTTTTCTCTTTTAAAAAAGTCATTATAGGGGCTTCCCTGGAGCGGCTGGGTCAACTACACTCCAATTTAAAAAAACCTAAATATAAAACAAAAGAAAAAAACCTCAAAACAACAACAAACAACAACAACAAAAACCCCAAAAAATACCCAACAAAAAAAAAAAAAAAAAGTCATTATATACCCATAGGAAAATAAATTGGAAAAGGTCGTAAATATAAAGAAGATAATAATTTCTGTAATATTCCTCTTCTGGGTATTAATACCACTAAACCAACAGAGTGACCACAGTTTGAAGGCTCTAAGTGAAGTAGCACTGTGTTTTGTTGACTGGTTCTCAGCATATGTGGCCTCAACTGAGACTTAAGTGGGTCTTTGTACCTTTTCTAAAAGGCCAGCTGGTTCTGGGTGATGGATTATGTGGGAAGACTTGTGTACCCCTGTACGTACCTTCCTGTTGCCTTACATCTATAGGTATAAAAATGAATTCCTTGGCTGGAAGCTATGTTGTACAGATACATGGCAGTGAGTAAGACATTAAATAAGTCCAAATCCAAGTTTAATGTGAGTTATTCAGTTTAATAAGGAAAATCACTGCTGCTTTCATGAAGGAAAGGGTCCAATAAATCAGCCTACCATGAGGGTGGTGGGCTGGTCCCTGAGGTACCTCATCAGGGCCGGGGTTGATTGCCTCTTCTGAAAAATTGGACACTCAGCAAGAGCCAGTGGGGGGATGTCTGTGTTGTTGATTAATGCATTGACTCCATCCCTATCACCATGGCCACTCTGTTCATGAGCCCTTGACCAAGTCCTAGAGTGGCTAAGGAAAGAAGCTGGCTAACATCCACAGAGCAGGTATCTTCTCCACCTGATCATTGAGAGGGCCTCCTCTACCTTGGAACGCTTTTGGTGAACATTCACGTTAGACCTAAGTATTATCATACTCTGGGCTAATTTTGGAAGTTTTACCACATACCCCTTTCCAGATTTTCTTGTTAGCCATCCACTAGTTTGTTCCAAGGCCCTAATCATCCAGCTAAACCATTATTTGTCCACTAACAATGAATTAGTGTGTATATCCTCAACTCAGGCCCTCTCTCCTTCTAGAATAAAAGTAAAACTATAAACCTACCTACATAACTTTTTCTGTGATTACACTAACATCATTCTTAAAATCACATCATGATGTCTTGTTCTACTGATCCCACAGTGAAATCAGCTTAGAAATAACTTAGAAATTGTGTATCCTTCTTTCTAGATGAATTCTTTCCTGTGTTTTTTCTTGTTTGCTGTATTAATTGGTCGAAAGGAGCTTTTTGCTGCGTTTGGTTTTTCTGACAGCCAGCCCACTCTAATTGGACTGTTGATCATCTTCCAGTTTATTTTCTCACCTTACAATGAGGTAATGTATATACTCTTTAAAATTATCTCACACATGCCCTTGTCTATCTCAAATCTAGAACCTTTAGGGTAGTGAAAAAACAAAACAAAGCTATAGTTTTAACAAGCAGATGAAACAAAGTTTTAGTCCCTTGATTTACTAGCTAGTGTAAGAAAGTAGCAGAAAAACCCAATCCCAAATAATAAGTGCTTGCATACTGTTAGGGGGGAAAAAAAGTGGAGAATTAGACTTTAGTGGTGAAAACCTTGATGTAACAGGTACCTAGAGACTTGGTAGATGGAGATTAACTATTGGAATGGTATGTCCTAGACCACATATTCCCCAGTGCTTGGGTGAAAACCTTCTGTGTGTGAAGGGACAAAGAAAATAATAATTGAGTGTAAGTATGACTGGATAAGGGAGGCTATATGACAGTGTTCCTCAGACTGTATTCCCTGACCACCTGATTCATAATAGCCTTAGCATCCCACCCCAGACCCTCTGAATCAGAATTGGGTGTTTTATGATAAGTGTAGTTTAAGAACCACTCAGTAGGGGGACTCCGTATATGTGATAAGACATAGATTAATGAGACTGTATATGAATAAATCCAGTGATGGCAACATGTCCTGATACTAATTGATTAGACTTCCACATTAAGCCAAGAAATAATATCGGGGATCTTGAGATGTCTCCATTCAGAAGAATTCTTTCTTGGGACAGGTTGTAGAGTTAAGGTTTTAACTTTCTCCGTAAAAGGTGGGTGTGGGCTGGGGTGTAAGGCACCAGTAAAGAAAAATGGAGAGGAATAGATCATGTTTGTATAGCGTTGTCCACAGAATCTACATTCATTTTCTAGAGAACTGAGATTTATTATCTTTAAACTCTAAATGATTTAATTTTTTATTTTACCTTTTGCTGAGAATATAAAATGCTGTATACAGACTGTTACTTCTTAAAGAGGTTATAGAACACCTTATAGTGGTAATTGTCATTTCTGTCTTCAGTCACAATTCAGGAATGCCTTAAGGATGCTGAGCTATGTATATGAAATGCCCCAGACTGCTTTGCTCTTTAAGCAGTTATGCTGTTTGTTTGTTTATTTATTTGTTTAACTAATTTTCTTATCTCTTCACTCACTGTCAGGCTGATAATCCTTGCTAATATCAGTGTAACTTTCTGTTATGGTCATTATCTGTTTATAATTTTCTTCTTCAACCAATCATAGACTGGGAAATCAGATAAACTCATTAAGTAAAAGTTACTAGATTCTGACTGAGTATAAGTGTCCTCTTATAAGTAAGGCACCAGTAACGTTAGTTGTTCTCCTTTGGGCATCTAATTTGGCCTCTCAGTTTTTGTCTTTGTCTCCTTATATTGAGCAGTTGAGTTCACTTCAAAAAATGTCTAAGTAAATGTGGGGTATTAGAGTAATTTGAAATGTGAGATATTAGCAACTGTTTTAAAAACCTTGGTGAGCCCAGGAGATTCATTTCAAAAAGACTAAATATTTAAACAGAAAATCTTATGTTTAATGTCAGCATTTAAGAGGTCATTATAGGAAAGACATATTTTCCCAGAAAATGGGGAAATTGCCCCATCAAGAAGAGCTTGGAAACCTACAGCAGAGTAGGTAGGTATAGGTTAGCATCTGCTTATGTTTCTATTTATGTCTTACAGTGAGATTCAAGGAACAGTTAGCCTGGGACACTTGAAATCAGGAGATAGATAGATAGATAGATAGATAGATAGATAGATACTAGTTAATGATTCTGTCCCAAAAAGTACATTCAAGATTTGGAAAGAAATTTCAGGTAGAATTCAGATATTAGCTTTGAACATATCTAAGAAGGTATCAGGAACTCCCAGACTTTATGTTGAAACTCTGTATCTGCTAGTGGCAATAAGAGGTACAGAGGAGAGACTTTTTAAATTTTTTTTTTATTGCTTACATATTTTAAGGTAAGAAATAGACATCATGTCATTCAACCTGTAATACTTCAATATACAAATAAATTACTTTTCCCTCAAAATTTATATTTTCGGATGAAATTTGTCCTCTTCATAGTTGTCACCTTCAGGGACTGAACATTTATTCTGATGAAGCTACCATAGCTCAGAACACTTTAGAAAATTCTATTTTGAGATTGTCATTAGTGGCTATAATATATATATGTGTGTGTGTGTGCGTGTACACACACATATATATATTAGAATGTTCTCAGTTATCATTTAAAGGTGGATAAGTGAGCAAGAATTTTTTTAAAAAAGAAAAAGAAGAGTCTGAATATAAATCACCACATCTTACCTGTATCTGAGGAAGGTAGTGTCCATGGGCTTTGGAATCATCAAGAATTTCAGCACTGCCACCTTCCAGCAGTGTGACTACAAGCAAGTTATCTCACCTCTCTGAGATACACCTTCCTCATCCGTAAAACAGGAGTAAGAGTAATACCTTGTAGGATTGTTGGAGAATATGTAAAGTGTCAATTCAGTGCCCAGCACATGGCAGGTTCTCAAATATTACTATTTCTTTGTTAAGACTGACATTCCTTTGGATATATATCTGTTTCTGGTCTGTTGGCTTGGGGGGAAAAGGCTCAATTTTTAATAATTCCCCCACCTAGGTCCCTTAAATATGAGTGATCTTCCTTTTGGCCTGCTGTTTCTCTTATCCTGAGCCAAACTTCCTCTAAAGTTTTGGCTCATGAAACCTTTAGTGACAACAAAGAGGGGAGCAGTGGTTAAAACACTTTTATTTACTTTTTCAGGTTCTTTCTTTTTGCCTAACAGTCCTAAGCCGCAGATTTGAATTTCAAGCTGATGCATTTGCCAAGAAACTTGGGAAGGCTAAAGACTTATATTCTGCTTTAATCAAACTAAACAAAGATAACTTGGGTTTCCCTGTTTCAGACTGGTTGTTTTCTATGTGGCATTATTCTCATCCTCCACTACTAGAGAGACTTCAGGCTTTGAAAAATTCAAAACAAGACTGAGTTGCCCAGGGTCTGCAACTGAAGACATTTCTGATTATTTCTGTCCCGGCAGCATGTTCTGGCTCTTGATGTTTTTAAACATTTTTTTTTAAGAAAAATTATTAAGTATGGAAAAGCCAAGATTTAAATATATTTAATATCTCATTTCAAAAATGATTTTAATAATCCATTTCTTAAAGAAAACACTGGATGAAATTTTGAGGCTTAATGTTTTTAAAGGCATAGTTTTATCTTTAAAATCTAGTTTACCCTCAACTTGTAAAATTACTTGAGAAAATACAGAACTTGTTTTATTTACATGCTTATATGGAACCTGCATATAACATGTTTGGGAGCATATGTTTAAAAGGGAACACCACCTCTGAATCCTCTCTGTAAGGCAGAAACAGTGGTCCTGAATCACTGTGCTCATACCTAAGTTGAGACTTATTTTTACTTTCATGCTGTTATGATTTAAGCTGGCCAATCAATGTTTTAAGTAAGGAAGAAAGCTAATAATTGGTAAGACTGATGTTTTGTAAATGAAAGTAGTTAGAAATATGCTCTCTCCTGTTCTATCAAATTTCTCTGTTCCCTCTCTTGCTATACACTGATCAGGAGTTTCTAATAATGCTTTGAAATTAGAAATTATGTACAGAATGTTTTAAATCACTGGGTTTTGGTTTTGTTTTTAAGAAAGTCTTTCTCTTTCTTTCCACCTGGTGGGTATGATCCCATTAGGGGTAAATGAGTATTTTTCTAAACTTTCAGCTTTTTCTCATTCATACTCTTGTATTCAATAAATAGTGCATCCTTTTACTTACCAGAAATTGCCATGTTGAACAGGCTTTGCTATTTTAAAAGTGGGAGAATGTGGAAAGAAGAAGAAATGACATTTTAAGAGATGTAAGATTGAAATACTGATGATTCTCTTATGATGTTACAGGAAAAAAATATAATTTTCTATCTCTTTCAAGGACAGAAGAGTTTCCGTTCTTATTTTTCTAATTTTTATCAGTAAGTCTTAAGTGTCAGGCCTGATTCCATTTTAGAAAATTATAGGTCTTGATATGCAGACAATTTTTATTTTCAAAACAGATGTCATGAAAGATTTCCAGTTTTTGAAGCTGCATGTTTGACTGATTCAGATCTCTGTCCACTTTCTGAATGAGACCCAACTTTGTGCCTAGAGCTCCCACCCACTGGTGATGTGTACCTTCTGGGCATTTATTCCAAAGTGGGATCAACTGTGCGTGCTTGATATCTGGCCAGAAAGTCTTTTGCTCAGCTGATATTTGGGTGATATCTTTACGTGGAAATATAATAAAAATAAACATCTAGTTTAGTACCGCATTATTTATTTTCCTAAGGCTAAAGAGGAACAGTGCTATGATTTGATCCAGCATCTTTCATCTGTGAATTCATGCTGTGATAACTGCCTTTCCTTCCTTCCGTGCCTTTAAATACAAATTTCAGCTCTGCACAAGTGAAACATTAAAAATTGCCAATGCATATTGATGTTCTTTGTCTTTAATTTGACAAAATTTGTCTGTGCTTTGTTACCTAGTAGATATATGTTTATTACCCTAGAGGAACCAAGTGCTAGTACTGGGTTGGCCAAAAAGTGCCTTTGGTTTTTAAGTAAAAATAAAAGACACATTTTTCATTTTCACCAAGAACTTTTTATTGGAAAATGTATTCGCCCTTTTGTTCCACTACCTTCTGCCATTTTTCAGGCAACTTCATAATTCCATCTTCCCAAAACATTTTATCTTTTTGAGCAAAGAACTGTTCCAGGTGCCTTTTACAATCTTCCAGGGAATTGAAATTTTTTCCATTAAGAGAATTTTGTAAAGACCAAAATAAATGGAAATCTGAAGGTGCAATGTCTGGTGAATATGTTGGATGAATCAGAACTTCCCATCCAAGCTATAACAGTTTTGCCTGGTCATCAAGGAAACACGCGGCCTTGTGTCATCCTGATGGAAGATTATGCGTTTTCTGTTGACTAATTCTGTACACTTTTCTTATCGAGTGCTGCTTTCAGTTGGTCTAATTGGGAGCAGTACTTGTTGGAATTAATGGTTTGGTTTTCTGAAAGGAGCTCATAATAGAGGACTCCTCTCCAATCCCACCATATACACAACATCACCTTCTTTGGCTGAAGACCGGCCTTTGGTGTGGTTGGTGGTGGTTCATTTCACTTGCCCCACGATCTCTTCCATTCCACATTCTCATACAGTATCCACTTTTCATCACCTGTCACAATTTGTTTTAAAAATGGAACTTTTCATTACATTTAAGTAGAGAATCGCATGTGGAAATATGGTCAAGAAGGTTTATTTCGCTTAACTTATATGGAGCCCAAACATCAAAGCGATGAACATAACCAAGCTGGTGCAAATGATTTTCAGTGCTTGATTTGGATATTTTGAGTATGTCGGCTATCTCCCACGTGGTATAACGTTGATTGTTCTCAGTTAATGTCTTGATTTGATCGCTGTCAACTTCAACTGGTCTACCTGACTGTGGAGCCTCGTCCACCGAGAAATCTCCAGCACGAAACCTCACATACCACTTTTGACACGTTCGATCAGTCACAGCACCTTCTCCATACACTGCACAAATTTTTTTTTTGCATTTCGGTTGCGTTTTTACCTATCTTGAAATAATAAAGCATAATATGCTGAAAATGTTGCTTTTTTCTTCCATCTTCAGTATTAAAATGGCTACATAAAAATTCACCAACTTTGATAAGTCTTTTTTTAAATGCACGCTGACATGACAGCTGTCACGTACAGTCTAACAAAATTGTTTTGAATGAAGTTAAAGACAACTAAGTGCTACTAGAGCCATCTGACGGAAAAAACAGAATGAACCTTTTGGCCAACCCACTACGGGAAGAGTAGTGTGAAGGAGCGGCCTGAGTGCCGAGTGGCAGCAGGACCATCACTGCACCTCACTCGGAGTCCTCTTCAGTGCTCCACTCCAGAGTGCCACTGGTTCTTGCTGGTGTTTTCTCAGAAGTGTCATTCAGAACCATTCCTTCTCCATTCCCATAACCTCTCATTGTCTTGGGCCTGTTTGGTCTGCTCCAGCTGCCTCTTCAGTCTTCCTTTCATGTGGCAGCAGTAACTAGCTTTTTTTTTTTTTTTTTTTTTTTGCGGGGGGTGCCATACCTCGTGCCATGCAGGATCTTAGTTCCCTGACCAGGGATCGAACCTGCGCCCCTTGCAGTGGAAGCGCAGAGTCTTAACCACTGGATCACCAGGGAAGTCCCAGTAACTAGCTTTTTAATATGTGATTGTTTTGACCTGGTCACCTACAGTATATGGGAGGCGTAGGGATGGCCAGAGGATACTGTTAGGGGAAAGAGGTGGCACTCTGCACCCTAATATTTGGTGCGATGTGCAGGGGGCAGAATGAAGTAGATCGAGGCCTCAGATAACATGGCATCATGACCTCAGCAGGGTTTATCTCTGAATCTAAGGCAGAGTCCTTGTTGTGCGTACATACTGCCTTTATCTGACTTGGCTTTTTGCTGAAGTCTGAGAGCTGCTAGTAAATCCTACCTCTGTTTGGGATAGGAGCTGGGATTAAATCAACGACTTTAGTATCATTGGTGGTTCCAGCTTGCCCTTGACTTGTATATTCTCACGCTCACCCCTAATCCTTTATGTGGTATTTCCCCTCCCTGAGGACTCGTTCTCCCACTTGGTCTTCGTCATCAATCTTTTGGATTCGTTTGTACATATATACTTTATGTAGCTTTGACTGTTTTGAGTTTTCTGTCATCATTTGCAGAAAAGCTTTACCTTAGCAGAAAGCCTACCTCAAGGGCCTTCAGTTCTGTCATAGATGCTATACAAAGAAAAGTACAGAGAACTTCTTTCCAGAAACTCCTGATTCAAGATCATGATGATGTGAGCAAGTAACTCTTGTGTCAGGCAATGTACAGTTTGGTGGAAAAGCAGGAATAATCCATAGTGGGATGGTACGGCCCTATTCAGACAATATGGATAGGGAAACCTCTGGCTCTTCTCTTATTATCCAGGATAGTTTCCAGGGAGGAGGGTTTCCCAAACAATATGACCAGAGACAGATAGGAAGATACCTCCATGTGTTCTAAAAACCTGTGAAACCAGGACTGTTCTTACCCAGTGAGCAGGATGAAGCTGGCATCTCAGTTAACAAATAACCTGTGCCTTCAGGTCAGAGCTCCCCTCTGGCTCTCTGTCTGATGATTGACAAACAGGGAAGCATAACTTAGGGTTAAGATCCAGGGCAGGGCTGTAGAATGCAGCACACCACTTACTATGAAGACCTCGGGTAAGGAACTTGACTGAGCCTTTATTTCTCCATCTGTCATTTAGTCAGCAAATACTGTGCCCACGCGCTGTACCAAGCTCCGCTCCAGGTGCTAGGGAACACGTTAGTAAGTAAATGATAGAAGATCCGCCTCGTGGAGTTTACATTCTAGTGTGGGAAACAGACAGTCAGAATACACAAAACAGATATCAAATGGTGACACATGTCTTAGAGAAAAAGGAGGACCTGAGGTGTTTGTGGGTTGGGGGGAGGAGGGGAGTTGATAAAAGGTGTCACTGAAGGTAATGTTTGAACAAAGACCTGGGGAAAGTGAGTGGGTGATCTCTGCAGGTGTTTGGGGAAAGAGCATTCCAGGAAGAGTGAACAGCAAGTGTAAAGGCCTTGATGTGGGAGCAGGCCTGCTGTCTGAGGAACACCAGAAGGCCAGAGAGGCTGGGGTGGGGTGTTCTAGGAAGAAATGGTGGGAGATAAAGTCTGACGGGTAGGGATGCAGCAGATTTACAGGGTCTTGTAGGCCATTGGAGGGACTCAGGCTTTTATTAGACTACAGTGGAAGTCATTGGAGGGTTTTGGGCCAGGGAGTGACATGGTCTAAGTTTTAACAGGATCACTGGCTGCTATGTTGAGGAGCAAGGGTACAAGCAGGGGACTAGTTGGGAGGCTCTTGCAATACTTCCACAAGGGCCTTCCCT